AGCTCTGCTTCCCGCCCCCCTCCTGGCCCCCCTCTCCCCCCAGACAAGCGTGTCCGTTTTTTTAGCGGGGTCTACCTGGCAACCCTACATATGTTTCTGGCGAGATTTCAGCTCTGGTTGATAAAGAGAACGACAGTTGTGTAATGTACTCAGGCTTCTTCAGGGCGTTTGGCTTTGTCCTGCACGTGTGGATGACACAGCTAGAACATCACAAAATTAACTGGGTTCTAAACTGGCTAAGTGATAGGCCTCAAAAATTGCTTAAATAGGCTTTGCCCCAGGGTAGGAACCTTTTGTTTGGCATTCCCCATTCCCATGGAAAAAATATCAGGTTCAAAATGGATTCCAGTATCAAGTGTCGTATCTTTCCAGGATCAACTACCTTATGGGCTTAAAAGACAAACACAATTATTCACAAGTCATTGCTTTGATGACTGAGTCACTGAGTTTTCAGGGCAACAATAATAGCCGTTATTAGCATATTTAGAACTATAAACAGATCCACCTTTTATATTTCTAACTTCACATACAAGAATGATATTTGCACAAAAATAGAATATATAGATCCAGCACAGCTCCAACAAATGTAACTAGAAGATTGATATGTTACATCACCTGATTTGCATAAAGCATCTTCAAGTTAGGCATATTCATATTCATAAGCCAATTACTACAAAGCATGGGGAGGTATAACACATAAAATGACTGTTGCTGAGGGCAGAATTAGGCCCTTTCTATTTACTTTTGAGCATCTCAGAAGCCCCCCTTCCTTAAGTTGTTATTTCACTTTCACAGGATTGCCGAAGTACAATCACTTAGCCCTGGTCTACACTAGGGAGTTATTTTGAAATAACTTCTCTTATCTTATATATAGTAGCCCATTGTCTGTGAGTCTGTAATTCTGATGTACACGGCCAGGCCCCGTGTACGTTAGCGCCCCATCCCCTGCCCCCTCCCTCCGTGGCGGTTCGGCCCAGCGCTGCGCTATTCAGCTGGGCCCCGGTGGGGGAGCAAGGAGCGGCAAGTGGCCCTTTGGCAAGCTTGCCACCCTGGGCCCAGCTGAGTGCTGGCGAGAGGTGTCCGGGGATCCGTGGGACTGGCCGGCAGGAGGAGGGGGTGGGAAGCAGAGCTGGGGGGAGGGATCAGGGGCTGTGGGGCTGGAGAAGAGGATGGGGGCACCCGGAGGAAGGTGGGGCAGGAAGCAGGGCTGGCAGCCACCTCCTCAAACGCCACTCCTACCTGGAAACGCAAGAGACCCTGCTCAGCTCCTGTCGCTCCAGCCACAATCAGAGAGCTCAGGCAGCCGGAGGCCAGGCCTGCCACATCAGGAAAGCCATGACCAGGGAACTGATGCTCTGGGCTTGATCCAGGTGAAGAGAGGTCCCCGCACCAGCCTCTTGCCTGGAATGTTACTGCTCCGAAGTGGTGGAGAGATGGGGGTGGAGCCGTGTTGAGGACAGAGGAATGAGCACATGGCCAGGGATGGACAAGGAGGAGTGAGGACAAGGGAGCAAGGTTTAGAGACCCAGACCCCATCGTGCCAGGCGCCGCATTGACCCCACCTGAGATGGGGGCCCCCTTGTTGCAGGGAGCTGCACACCCTCGCACTCACAGTCAAAAGAGGCAAGAAAGGCAAAGGAAGGGTTGTTATTGCCACAGGGGAACGGAGGCTCAGAGAGAGGCAGTGACCAGCCCAGGGCCACACACAGGTACTGATCACAGCTCTGAGCCCAGCCCAGTGGTTTGGCCTCAGCAGCCCGGCCCAGGTGAGTTTGGAGCAGAACAGCATCCTCTAGCGAGGGGCCACGGGAGAATGAGCCCTGGGGGAGGCTGGGCTCCCATGGGAGCAGCAAGACAGATGAGGCAGCTCCCAAGGCGTGGCACAGCCTCTCCTCAGGGATGAAGGGCCTGGCCCAGTCGGCTGGGCACTGCTGCTGCTGCAGGGTTGGGGGTGTGGGGTGTGGCTGGGCACCACAAAGAGGAGCCAAAGCTGGGACCCCAGCAGGGCAAAGCACCCACCAGCTCACCTGGGAGTGGCATATGTGAAGTGGGTCCATCCTCCTTCCTCCTCTTGGCCTAAGATGGGCGCCGGCAAGGACTGAGCTGTGAGGAACAAAGATGCTGTCACAGGCCCTGGGGTGAGAGTGGAAGCCCAAGGGCAGACCCGGGAGCCAAAGAGCAAAATGCAGCTCTGGCCTTTATGCCACCTGGCGATCTGGCCCCATGGAGGGGGGGACCCTGCGAGGCTCACCTGCAGAGACACCCTGCCCTGCAGCTGGCTGGGGTGTGTCTCTCTGGGCTCAGACGCAGCGCAGGCAATGAAGCCCTCCTCACAGCAGCTACTTCCTCCATGCACCAATTTCCTGCCCTTGCTGCTGTCTCTCTCCCTCCCTGGGGCTTCCGCTTGTGGCAGTTCTTGCTGCATCTCCTCTGTGCCCAGCTGTGCTCAGCCCCCTGGCCAGGGGCAATTGGGGTTGAAGACGGGGGCTTGCCCCTGCACACACCCAGCACAGGAGCGACTCTGGGTTCAACTCCACTGCCATTAAAAACTCGACGCTGGCCCGTGCCAGCTGTCTCAGGCTGCAGGGCTGTTTCAATGCAGTGTAAACTCAGCTCAGCCCACCACTGTGCTGGGGTCCCAACAGTTCTGGGATGCACCCGTTAGCCTACAGGTGCATCTATACTGTCAGCATAAATAAATACTAAACATAAATAAATAAAAGCTGCACTAGTGGGGCTTCAAATAGCAGCATCAGTAACCCAGGTTCAACCCCATGTTGCTCTATCAGCTTTAACTCAACTAGCCTGTGCTCACTACAGTTTTAACGCAAGGTAACTGAGGTTAAGAACAACCCTTTCTTTGCAATATCGACATAATCCTGGGACAGCTGCTTCTGGCTACATTTCTCCAGGTTGGTTCCACTGACGTGCAGCTACTTCCAAGGTCAAATGGCCTCCCATATGCTACAGTGGCATACCTCACACTAGGCAAGCGAATATGTCACATCAGGCAAGACTACTACCCCCCATTGTGCTGATGGGAAACTGAGGCACAGAGAAGATAAGTGACTTGGTCCAGGCCATATAAGGAGGCTGTGGTAGAGCAGAGAATTGAACCCAGCTCTTTGGGAGGTGGCCTGGTCACTGGACCATCCTTCCTCAGCACTACACAACAGAGGTGTGTGTCTTAGGTGCAGGGAGGAATATGTAAGCCAAGGCACCAAAGCAAACCTCCCATTCTGCCAACAATGTTTTTTCAATCTTTCCTGCCCATCACAGCAGAGAGGAGTTTGATTTATCTGAAAGATCCAGGCACTGTCTGGGGTGCCTGCCTATTTCAGGCACAATTCTTAGACTGAAAGCCAGTCCTTTCAGCATCCCATCAGTGAGTCAGCTTCAGTGACTGTTACCCACAATTCCAGGCACTTGGTGAGCTACCGCTCCGGAAATGCTGACCAGCAGCAGGCAGCCCCTCTCTAAAGTGCATGGGACAAATGACAACATATCTTTCCCCACCAACTAATCAGTTTTTGTGGTGCTAAAAGGCAAATGATTCCAAGGCAACTAGAAATGGCAGGAAATTGGAATGTGGCAGGACCATTAAAAGTTGCAGGGAAGATGGAACGTTGGGGAATGAAGGTTCCATGGCAGTTGGAACTGGGGGGAGTACAGAATGTTGGGACTCAAAGGTTCCATGGCAGTTGGAACTGGGGGGAGTACAGAATGTTGGGACTCAAAGGTTCCATGGCAGTTGGAACTGGGGGGAGTACAGAATGTTGGGACTCAAAGGTTCCATGGCAGTTGGAACTGGGGGGAGTACAGAATGTTGGGACTCAAAGGTTCCATGGCAGTTGGAACTGGGGGGAGTACAGAATGTTGGGACTCAAAGGTTCCATGGCAGTTGGAACTGGGGGGAGTACAGAATGTTGGGACTCAAAGGTTCCATGGCAGTTGGAACTGGGGGGAGTACAGAATGTTGGGACTCAAAGGTTCCATGGCAGTTGGAACTGGTGGGAGTACAGAATGTTGGGACTCAAAGGTTCCATGGCAGTTGGAAATGGCCAATAGTGTGGGTGTTTGTGAAATATTAGATCCCCACACTTAGTGTTGGAGACCTTCCACGCTGGTAACTTAAGAGGGATCCTGTGTGTTCAGAGCACATCAGCAAGTGTTTTGGTTTGTGCATAACTTTTATTCTAGGAAATTCAACAAAGAAGATATAAAGTTCAAAAGAAAAATCAGCTTCCTTGGGTTGTCTTTGGTAGTTTTGGTTTGTTTGTTTTTTTGTCGTCCTCATAGTGTTCCAGATTGTCTTGATTTTGCACATACCTTAAAATTTGTCCAGAATCTGGGTGAGCCTCCCAGACAAGTTGTGGAGGCAAACAACCCGACTAGCTTGTTAAAGTGTATGTGTGGGGCGGGGGAAAGTGCACAAATTACAATGCATCCTTCCTCATGGAATAACGAGTCTTTTTGGAGCTTGAAAGGAATTTTTCAAAGGCCTTTAGATTTAGATCTCATTGTAGAATTTCCATGGCCATTAGACATGGCAAGAGGATAGAATGGTGGGACATTTGGAAATGCTGGGGCTGAGAAGTTTTGAGACAGCTGGAAATGGTGGAAGGAATGTCGAGGGAATGAAAGTTGTTCAGTAGCAGTTGGAAATGGCTGGAGAATGGGATGTTCAGGGGATGAAGGTTCTTCATTGGCAGCTGGAAAATGGCAGGAAGATGGACTGCTGAGAGATCACATCAGATCAGATCTGGCCCCCGTTCTGCATATTAGATGGCAGAGTGAGGCTGTTTGTGTTGGACGTTCAGCTGACGGATCCACTGTTCACGCTGTTGTTGCTGGCTCTCTCTCAAATACTTGAAAAACATTTCCAGATCCATTTGTGTCATTAAAGGGTGGTCACTGTACCCCTTTCTTCAGGGGTTAGGTTCTGTGCCCACATTCTCCACCATATGTAGCCCGGTGGGGTTCACGGAGGGGCTCCTTCCCCCCTCGGGGTCAGTGGGCAACCACTCAGCCCCACTATACCCTGCACAGTTCTTGTGGGGAATCAGCTGTGGTTGCCAGCGGGTAGTCCACCGCCCAGTGACCAGTCTGCAACCACAGTCTTTAACCACCAGCCCTGGTTCAGGACAGGTCAACAATAACCCACAAACGGTCCTCAGGTCCATCCCTGGTTCAGGGCGGGGTAGCAGGAAAACAGTTTTAAACCCAGGCCCTAGGGCAGCAGGCAAACAAACAAATAGTTCACATGTCCCGTTCACAACAACCCCCAGCTGGGTCCCCTTGCTCAGGCAGAGGGTCTAGCAAGTGCAGGCTGCTGATCGGGAACAGCCGAGGGGGGAGACTGCCACCCAAGAGTGGGGTGGCAGGGGGTTCAGGCCCACCCACTCCACTGCGTCCCAGCCCAGGGCTCTAGCAGCAGCAGAGGGGTCTGCTGCTGAGTCAGCGGGGATCCCTTCTGCAACACGCTGACCTGGTTCTAGCTCCGCCAATGGAGGTCGGATACCCCTGGGTTCTCTCCTTTCTCCCCCTTGGGGTTTACCTAGGTCCAGTGCAGGTCCTCTGGGCACTGTCATTCTGGAACCTCTGGCCAGGTAAGCAGACCCTCCAGGCAGTCGCCCGGCAGCCCGGACCAGTCCTCCACGTGTCCGGGGTCTAGCTCCTCATTTGGGTGCATGGGGGAGGCTTCTGGCTTCTCTAGGTGCTGGGGCTTGACTGGCCCCTCTGGCAGGCCTTTTATATCCCTGACCCCGCTTCCTGGCTTCCAGTCAGGTGGGTCATTAGGGCCAGGTGCAGCTCACCAAGGCTCAGGGAGGGGCTCTTCCCCCCTCGGGGTCTGCGGACGGCCTCTACAGGCTGGGTGCGAATGGATGGATGGCTTGATTAGATGGATAACTATATGAGGCGGCCTTGGTATCCATGGGAAATATGAAACCATCAGAACCAAAGCAAACTAAGAAAAGACAGACTGGGTCTTTGTTAATCTGATTTCTAGTGGAGAGAAGTCCAAATTTATTATTACATGTTTTGCAGTAGAGTCTACCAGCCCCATTGTGCTGGGCACTGCATAGCCCCCTCCCAGCAGAGCTTGGGGACCCCCATTTTGCTGTAGGGTATTCTGCAGCTATCTCATGGAATATCTTGCAGCTAGAAGATGACCCCAGGGAACTCGGACAAGTGCTGAGGAAAGAGAATGCCTAAGCCAGTGGTTTTCAACCTCTCTCATTTGCAGATTGCTAAACATTTTCCAGTGGAAATGCGAGCCCCCTTGAAAATTCAACCTGTGACCCATAGATCCCTTCCACAGAAGTCTTAGACTGAAAGCTGACTGAATTCGGCTATAAATGGTGCACATGCCGGGCCCAGCATTTGACACAGCGTGAGAAAGGTGCTACCCTGGGCAATCCTATGGTAATGACAGTTCTGCATTGGGACCTGTAGGTGGGGGTATTCGCATACTTTGGATTGCACATGAAAACAGAAACGCCTTTTCTGGGCTCTGAAATTTCATCTTCATGATCACCTTTCACAGACTACTTAGACAGACTCTGCAGGCCCCAAGCGGTCCACGGACCCCAGGCTGAAAACCACTGGCCTAAGTGATCTTGAGACCCTTCCTGTCCAGGAGCAAAGGAAGACCAAAGATTCTGAAGCCAACCCCTGGCTAGGTAAGAGGTGTAGGATGGCGGGTTTGGGTTTGAAGAATATTGACCCATTTTCTGTGTAATCAGCTGAGTAGGAGTGTCATGTTGTGGCCAGAAGACCCGGGTGGTGCATAAACAGGGGAACCTCACCTAGGAATAAAGAGGTGATTTCACTTCTGTATTTGGCACAGATGTGGCCACTGCTGGAATCACATGCCCAGGTCTGGTTTTCCCATTTCAAGAAGGGGGCGGATAAATTGGAGAAGAGTCAGAAAAGAGCCACAAGAATGATTAAAGCAGTGGTCTCCAACCTTTTTACACCCAAGATCACTTTTTAAATGACAGACCAAGCCAAGATCTACCGCCCCGCCCCTTCCTTGAAGCCCCGCCCTCTCTATTCTCCTCCTCTCCATCACTTGCTATCCCCAATCCTTATACTGCTACTTTTAAAAAAAAATTCCCACCATTCCTCACAGCTACTCACCTGTGCTGTTGCTCGGTGAGTAGCTGCTCCTCAAATGAGGAAATCTAATGTAAATGTACTGCACAGGCGCGCAGTTCAGAGAGGGCTCAAGAGCTACTCTTAGAGCCTCCAAGATCTACCGGTAGATCGAGATCCACTGGTTGGTGACCACGGGCAAGATCTACCGGTAGATCACGATCTACTGGTTGGTGACCACGGGATTAAAGGATTAGAAAACCTGCCTCCTAGTGACAAATTCAAGGAGCTAGACATAGCCTTAGTCTTTACGGTACCCCAGGATTCCTTTGTTGTTTAAACAAACTAGGCGCGTTTAGGGAAAAGAAGACTGTTGTGGGGGTAGAGGAGGGAGGAGCTGATTGCTTTTAAATATGTTCAGGGCTGTTATAAAGGGGATGGAGATCAATTGTTTTCCCTGTCCACTGAAGGAAGAACAGAGAGAAATGGACTTACTCTGCAGCCAGGGAGAGGTAGCTGAGCTATTAGGGAAAACTTTCTAACTCCAAGAGAAGGGAAGCTCTGGACCAGGGAGAAGACTGTGGAATCCCTGTCTCTGGAGGTTTTTAAGAACAGGTTGGACAAATGCCTCTCGGGGGTAGCCTAAGATTACTTGGTCCTGTCCCAGCAAAGGGGGCTGGAATCAATGGCCTCTCGAGGTCCTTTCAAGTCCTCCATTTCTGTGGCTCTATCGCTACAGCTTCATTTTCCCTGCAGGCCTGGCTGGGCGTGCCACGTCCCCTGAGACAGCCATGCTGCCCCTACTCCACACCCCGGGCCTGGACGAAGGGGTCTCTGTGGAGGCGGCTGGCTGTGGACACGTCTGCAGGCCCCTCTCCTTGGCATGAGTCCTCTGATGGCGGGTCAGGCCCGTGCTCTGGTAGAACCCCCTCCCACAGTGAGGGCAAACATAGGGCCGCTTCTCCATGTGGATCCGCCGGTGCTGAACCAGCGTCGAACTCTGCTTGAAGCGCTTGTCACACTGGGGGCAGGGGTAAGGCCGCTCCCCAGTGTGGGTGCGCCGGTGCCGCGTGAGTGCCCTGCGGTCCTTAAAGCCCTTCCCGCAGTCCCCGCAGCAGTGGGGGGTCTCGCTGGTGTGGGTGCGCCGGTGGTGGCCCAGCGCCGAACTGTCGCTGAAGGTCTTGCTGCAGTGGGTGCAGCTGTAGGGCCGCTCTCCGGTGTGCAGCCGCTGATGGACGGTCAGGGCTGAGCGCTGGCTGAAGCTTTTGCCACACTGGGGACAGGGGTAGGGTCTCTCGCCCCGGTGGGTGCGCTGGTGCTGCAGTGGGGACGACCGCTGGTTGAACCCTTTGCGGCGCTCCCTGCAGGCCTTGGGCCACTCACTGCTGTGGACGCGCTGGTGCTTGCTGAAGCTGGAGTGGTACATGAAGCCCTTCCCGCACAGGGGGCAGACGTGGGGCTTCTCCCCGGTGTGCACCCGCCGGTGCTCCATCAGCGAGTAGCCGTGCCGGAAGCTCTTCCCACACTTGGGGCACTTGTGGGCCCGCACCCCGGAGTGCGCCACCAGATGCGCCACCAGCCCGGTGATCTCCCCGAAGCGCCGGCCGCACGCCGTGCACTTGTAGGGCAGCTCCCCGGTGTGGCTGCCCTGGTGCCGCAGCAGGCTGGTGCGGGTGCTGTAGGCCGCTCCACACTGGGCGCAGACGTGAGGCTGGCGGGTCAGTTGCTCCTTGTGGCGGAAGCTCTTCCCGCACTCAGCGCAGGGGTAGGGCCGGGCCCCGCTGTGGATGAGCTGGTGGCGCAGGAGGTTGGCACGGAGGGTGAAGCGCCTCCCACAGTCTGGGCACTGGTAGGGCCGCTCTCCTGTGTGGGAGCGCCGGTGTATGACGAGCACCGATCTCTTCCTGAAGCTTTTCCCGCAATCCCCACAGAGGATGGGTCCCTCTCTTGCCCGTGGGTGACCACCGGCCACGGGTCTTTCCTGCCGAGGTGGCTTCCCCAGCTGCCATCGCACCCCATCAGAGGCCTCTTCTCCCTCTGGCCTCTCAGCTGTTCTGTGGAGCTCCACTCCTGCCAGCCTTTCCTGTTGAGGGCTTTGCCTCCCGGCACCTGCTGGAAGAGACAGAATCCAGCCCAGGTCTGACCACGTGGCTCGACACCTCCACTGGGATCAGAAACAGGCTAATCTCACAGGAACCCCTCCTTCAAGAAGCCGGACATGGCTACAGCTAGACAGGACCGTGGCTGTGACCTGGATCTAAAGCAGTGTTTCCCAAATGGTATTCCACGGAACCCAGGGGTTCCTCGAAGTGAACATAAGGGTTCCGTGAGAAAATTCCATTACAATAACATTTTGCAATTTAAAAAATAATATTTTGTACACATGAAATGTGATTTTTGTTTTTAATTATGTGCAATTAAACTAATTGTAGATCTCATGACCTTGTTTAGCATTTGTTTATTATTATCCTGACTTATTTGTGGTCTACTTTTTCAGCTCCATATCTAAGACTGTTATGAGGGGTTCCGCAAAATTATTTTGAGTTTAAAAGGGCTCCGTGGCCAAATGAAACTGGGAAACACTGAACTAAAGGCTCCTGCAGCAAGTACAGAGACTCTGTCTCAGCACTGATCAGCAGGGGGCACTGCAGTGAAGGGAGGGAAGGAGGCTTAGCAAGGGGTAATTCCCATGTGGTCAGAGCTGACTCCAATGCAGGGAAGAGAATGGGCCGGACCCCAACTCAGAGTACATATGGGCTGTAGCTCCACTGGAGTCAGTGAGCCCAGATTCCCAGCTGGAGTCAAAGTGCTAATTAAATTAGCATCACCCCATACACACCGATTCATTTACACCAGCTGGGGATCTGAGCCTGCATTGTTAGGGTTTAACACAGGGCTGGGGAGCCTATGGCTGGGGGCCAGATCCTGGATCCAGCCCCTGAAGCTCTGGGCTCTTCCCCCCACCCCTCCCCCCGGGGTAGCTGGTGCTGGCACTCCAGCCTTGCAGCCCCCTCACCCCCAGTCCGCTGCTGCACCCCCACTCTGCTCCTGCACCTTTCAAGCTTCCCAGACCCACCAACCCCCCACATTCCAAGCCTGCTTCCTAGCAGTCCCCTCCCACACACCGAACCCCTCATTTTTGGCCCCACCCTAGAGCCTGCACCCCACCCTCCCTCCCTCCCCAGGCTCTGGTGTGTGAGGGAAATGTGTCTTTCTGCTTCGCTGTCAGGGGCCACCTCAGTGAGGTTTTTTGGTTTGGGCTTTTTTTCCATCTCATTTTTGAGTGGCCCCAGACCGATTTTAATGTCGGTCAGTGGCCCCCGACCCAAAAAAGGTTCCCCATCTCTGCTCTAACACGTCTAGAGATATCCGCCTGACCCTGGTCACCCCACCCTTCGCCCGTCCTCTGGCATTCAGGGGGCGTCCTCGAGGCAGGCCCCGCGTCTGTCTTGGGTTTGTGCGGCACCTGGCTCAGCAGGGCCTGGATCCTGAACTGGGCCCGTAGGCGTTGCCACAGTAACGGAGACAGAACCGGGTGGGCGTTCCCAGCGTTACCCTCCTCTCCCCAATGGTTTGCGAGCCGGTGCCACTCATTCCTTACTTGTCTGGGCACCTCCCCGGAGCTCCCTTCCCTTGGAGCCCTGCAGACCCGGGACCCACGGCTCTTCCCCGTGCTCCATCGAGGAGATCACAGCTGGGTCAGTGACGGAGACTCCTGCTGGCCAAGATGGAAACAGATGAGATGGCGCTCGGTCAAATCTCATCCCAGGGTTTGGTACAGAGAACGGGCCCCGGTTCGAACCCTAGCCCTGTTCTCTGTGGGGTGGGGTGCAGGATGCAAGGAGGCAGGAAGTGTTCCTTTGGGACAAAAAGGTGCCTGGGGACAGGGCTGCACCCCTGTTGCGGAGTCAGGGGTCCCCACACACAGGGGAGCTGGATGACTCAGGCAGATGAGAAAAATAACAGAGAACTTATCTGATGGGCCAAAAAACAGCCCAGGGCACTTCTGAGACCCCACAACCGTCGGCTCCTGATCCCCAAGGGGCAGCTGCTCCTCACCCAGCGAGAGCAGCGTCTGGTAATTCTCCTGCATGACGTCCCTGTAGAGCTGCCTCTGCCCTTCATCCAGCAGCACCCATTCCTCCCGGGAGAACCACACGGCCACCTCCTCGAAGGCCACCGGCACCTGGAACCACGAGAGACGCCACAGTCCCATCCGACACCAAGGGTGTGTCTAGACTACAGGGTTTTGTCAACAAACGTGGCCTTTTGTCGACAAAACTATACCTGCGTCTCCACTGCCGCCGAGTTCTGTTGACATAACGTCGACAGCGGTAAACCTCATTCTATGAGGAATGACGCCTTTTGGTGACAGAGTTCTGTCGACAGACGGCGTTATTGCATCGACGCTGTCCTTTGCGTCTCCACTCTCACGTCGACAGAGCGGCTTGCTTTGTCGACAGAAGCCCGTAGTCTAGACGTACCCCAGGGGGCAGGCGGGGGTGAGGCTGGCGTGTCAGAGGGAGGAGGAAAAGGCGGGTGGAGCAGAAAGGGGAGGGAGGGATGGGAGCAAGGACCGGAGGGAAGGAGTTTAAAGCGGGAAGCTGACCAGATGATCTTCCCCAGAATGCTCCCTGCTGCCAAAACAGGCCCAAATCCCCCACTCTCTGTGCAGATTTCAGAGACTCGGGAACCTGCCCCCTGCTGCTGCTGTTCAGGACAAAGTCCAGGACCAGCAGAAGAGGACCAGGGGGCTTTTGAATGACCCCTCCAAGCCTCAGGGAGGAGCCAGCTAAGGTCCCCGCCCCCTCCCCAGGAGAGAGCTGGGCTGCACCCCTCTGTCATGTGGATGGGGTGACCACACAGCCCACCTGGAAGCTGACCATGCGGGCTGCTGACTCCTGCTCGACACTGCTCTCCTCCTCGGATATCTGGGGCAGCAGCTGGCCTGAGAAGGGGGGGGGGCATGCGAAAACTGTATTATGTGGGGGTCCCAATGCAAGTATCTGCCCCCATATGCTGGGGTCATGCTTAGCCCCCGGCACCCGCTCGCCCCTTGCAGGGCTGCCCCCCTGGCACAGGGCTTAGCCCGATGGTGCCACCCCGACCACCCTGCTTGGTACCCCTTTCCCATGGCTCTCGGGGCTCCTGGGACAGCTCGCTCCAGGATCCTGGGAGCTCCTCGTGGGAGACACACGTCAGGTGCTCCAGCCTGGGCCTGGGGGTGTCCATCTCGTCTGAGATCATGTCCTGCCCAGCCTGGCCGAACCGCAGCCAGGACGGAGCGGAGCCTGGGCGAAGGACATAACAAGGGAGCATTACCTGGGGGAGGGGAGGCCATGCATCCTAGGCACAAAGGGCAGGCCCAGCTCACAGCTCGTCTGGGGTTTCCAGGCGGAGAGCTCTGGCTCGGAGCTGCCCCAGACCCCGCAAACTCCCCCAACTCCGCTTCTCAATCCCAGCCGCTGCTTTCCAGCCTCCAGGCAGCAATTTCCTGCCTCTGTGGCTGTTTCTCTCCCTCCCCCTGGAGCCGCCTCTGGCTGCTCTCTGTGCAGGGCTGCTCACCTGGGGAGTCTGTGGACATGCACGTGGTGACTGAGCCAGGATGTAGAGGGGGTGGGACAGGAAGGTCCAGGCACTATTGCAGTCCCCGCTTCTGGTCCAGGCAGGGCTTGGGAGAGGGGTGGGGTTTAACCCATTAACTTCCCAGATCGGGGAACCCCTGGGAAAGGCTAAAACAAAAGGAAAAACTATGTAGCACTTTAAAGACAAACCAGATGATTGAATAAGTGACGGCTCATCACCTAGTAAACCATCTCGTTAGTCTTTAAAGAGCTACATAGTTTTTCCTTTTGTTTTAGCAAGATCAGACTAACAGGGCTACCTCTCTGTTACTGGCAAAGGCTTTAAGCCCAGCCCTCCTGGCTCTGTGCAGCCCAGGCCTCTGACGTACTCAGGCTCCTGCATCCTTGGGGTCAGCATGGGGGAGATTTCAGCAGCCAAGTCGGCCTAACTAGGGCTCTGGGGAACCTGCAACTTGAGGGCAGCAGGCCCCCTGAAAAATCCCTGCTCAAGGATTCATGGGCCCCTTTGGGGGAATAGGGCTCCGCTTCCCATTGTTGTTCCTCTAATGACCCATGAGGTTACATGATCCCTACAGTAGGGGGCGCTCTTCCCTTGCCCCAGAGCTGACCCCAATACCCCAGTGCCAGGCTAAGTGGTGCTGTAGCGCAGGGGCTCAGCAGGGGGCGCTCTCCCCACTCAATCAGGGCTAAACTGGTGCCCACTTGCACACAGGCCTTAAAACAAAGGTGCTGAGCACTCGTGTGCACCACCCATCTCATATCCCTTGTCCCCAGCGCTGGGGCTTAGCCAGGGTTCCCTGTAAGCTGGGCGCTGATGCGGCTGCTCAGGAGAGATTCCAGGCACCCCCAGCTCAGATTTTTAATTTTGCTGGTGGTGCACATGCACCCAGGCTTTGAGGCACATAAAATTATTCCGCACATGGATGGAAAGAGAGGGAACTTTGGGCTTGACTCTGGACATCCTAGCTCAGCCCACTCCTGCTTGCTCCCAGCCACTCTTCCCCATCCCACGCGGTGTCAGCTGGGTACACAAGTCTTTCCTTCCCTGCCTCAGTGTGAGCAATATTTTGAGGTGAAAGACCAACTACAGCTCATTATGGTGCCCACCCCCATTCCCCTCCACAGACTCTGCGGCAGGTCGCAGACCTGACAGATCTGTGGCTGTTGCAAATGGTGGGAAGGTCAAACGGGGGGGGGCCTGCATTGTTGGATGAACATTGGCCTGATGGGTGGGGAAGTGGCTGGGGAGGAAATGGTGGGGTGGGCCCTGGGCAGGGGGGAGTGCCTGGTTGGTGAAAATGGTGGGAAACTGGCATGCTGGGCCAGGAAGTCTCCATGGCAGCTAAAGGAAGCTTTGTCCATGCCAAGACCAGTCACCGGAAAGCACGAGTGCAACCTGTGGAGAAAGTCTCTGCCACCATCACAGCGAGGACGCTGCCAGCACATCGAGGACGGTCTATTTACTTTACCCCATAGTGCTTACCCACAGGCCTGTGTGTAACCCTCCCAGGTTCTTTTATGACTCAACACACCACAGAGGACAGCATCTGTCCCCATTTTTATTCCCCCTCCTCCTCTCATGCCTGCACGTTGGCAATCACCCCCCTCCATCTCCTCAGTAATGGGTTTTTGGTGAGTGCTTGTACCGCATGGGGCACAGAGAGGCCCAGGACAGTGGTGGGCAACCTGCAGGCCACATGTGACCTATGGGGGTTCGATGTGTGACCCATGAGACATTGTGTTTGCTGGTGCCTGCGCACAGGGTTGCCACACTCGGCTGGTTTTCATCCACACTGGTTTTTCCCTGCCCGTTACTGAAGTGACACCCACGTAAAGCCGGGGCACATGAGGTGAGGTGCATGCTGGCGGCACACAACTGACTGTGAGCGCTGGGGGTTCCCTCTGCCTCCCGTCACAGCGCTGCCCCGGTTCAATCGGCCCAGCCCGCATGTTCTAGCTGGGCAAGTGCAGGGAGCAAAACTGCCCTCTCCTGGAAGACCATGTTGGTTATGACAATCTTGCTGCTCACTGACGAAGGAGGCCTCGCACACGACCCACTCACTAGCCTCGGTTGCCCCTCGCCGGTCCAGGCCCACGAGTGGAATTTCTAGGGGCTACCACAATCCAGAGAGGACTTCATCTCCACCAGGATACTGTTTATTGACCGGGAAGAATTAAGAGAGAAAACCGACAGAGAGAACCCCTGACAAAAACCATTTTCCCACTCTCGTCTAGGCACTGGCAGTGAGAGCCAGGGTCTCCCCTACCACGGCTAAACATGCTACAACTTTATCATTAGGAGCTGGGCTAAGCCTGGGAGGGGTTAATGCTCCCTGCCAAGTGGGGCAGAGGGAAAACTCTCTTACCCTGGGGCATTCTGTCACCCAATTCCAGGGGGAAGGGCACGCCTGGGGCCCCTGAGAAGCAGAACGTAATGGCCGGTCCCCTTTTTCTCTCATAAAGCGCAAGTTTCATTTTTATTCCGACATCTCAGGCCCTGACGACTCCATCTTCTCCCCGGCCATCTGGGGAGGGGTGGCTCAGGATCCGTGGAAAAAGCCCCACCCCATTTAATTCCTCTACCACCATCTGAGGCCCAAACCCTCCATCTAACCCCTCCCAAAACTCTTCACTCAGGCTCCTCTTTAATCTGCAGTGGAGGTGCCAGCTCCTCTTTAATTTCCTGCGGCAGCTCCGGCTGCTCCTCTTTAACCTGCGGGGAGCCATCTTGAATATGCTGAGGCGGTTCTGCCTCCTCTTTCACATGCAGGAGCATCCCTGGCTCCTCCTTTATCTGGGGGGGCAACTCGGAGTCCCAGGTCCCCGGCGGGAGCACCACCACCACCTCCTCGGGCTCGGGGCCGTCCTCCCCCGGCTGGACAAAGGGGTTCGTGGGCCCCGCCGCTCCCCTTGGCGTGAGTCCGCTGGTGCTTGGCGAGAGCCGACCGCTGGCTGAAGCTCTTGCCGCAGTGGGTGCAGGAGAAGGGCCGCTCCTGCGTGTGGATGCGGGTGTGCTGGACCAGCGTGGAGCTCTGCTTGAAGCCCTTCCCGCACTGGGCGCAGCGGAAGGGCCGCTCGCCGGTGTGGGTGCGGTGGTGCCGCTTGAGGGCCGACATGCCGCTGAAGTTCCGCCCGCACTGGGCGCAGCCGTAGGGCGACTCCCCGGTGTGGGTGCGGCGGTGCTGGGTGAGCGCCGAGCTCTGGCTGAAGCCCTTGCCGCACTGGCCGCACTTGTAGGGCCGCTCGCCGGTGTGCAGCCGGCGGTGCGTGGTCAGCACCGAGCGCTGGCTGAAGCTGCGCCCGCACTCCTCGCAGCGGTAGGGCGTCTCCCCGGTGTGGATGCGACGGTGCTGCACCAGGGCCGAGCTGGCGATGAAGCTTTTGGGGCAGTCGGGGCACTGGTGGGGCTTCTCCCCGGTGTGGGAGCGCTGGTGCTGCAACAGGGAGTGCCGCTTGGTGAAGCTCTTCCCGCAGACGCTGCAGGCGTTGGGCCGCTCCCCGGAGTGGCCCCGGCCGGGGGCGGTGAAG